TAAAGGAAAAGCAGCAGGACTTCATGATTAATTGGTCTATCCTAAAACGAGCAGCCTCGTATTCCAGCGGTGGAAAGAGATGTAACCTTTGCCTCCAAGAGAAACTTTGCATTCTAAAAGCGGATAAGTCAAACTTGCTGAATAGAAGACGCGAGTTGTTCTCGAAGTGCGTTCACCAAAAACGATTCTTGGCCGAAAAGTTTGAACGTGCGCAAGCTCAATCACGCACGCAAACTCAGTCACGCAAGCAGCACAACGGATATCAACGTCACCAAGCAGGAAAAGTTAGTTGAACATACATCGTCGCCTGAAGATCGTTAAAACGTGAAACTCAGAGTTGCGACTTAATTAATTTTAAGTAGAAAAGACAACAATTATATATATATATATATATATATATATATATAACTACAGACGGTACCGTTTCGGCCTTTTGGGCCTCATCAGTGTATTGCTGATGAGCAAGACGAAAGTAACTTGTATTAATAGTTACCTTTGTTGTCTCACGAATGTGGGACATCAAACCATTGCCAAAGTACTCAAACTGCAAGCAGTGAGCATGCGCACAATGCGTAAGCAGCAATGGCTCATCCTGTAGAGTGCTCAATATGACCTTAAAGCCATAGAGCAATATATAACAGGATAGCAACTGATATTTGTTTATATATATATATATATATATATATATATATATATATATATATATATATATATATATATATATATATATATATATTGTATGGTTTATAGAAGGCTATAATTGCTGTGAATAAATTGAATAATAAATGTAGCACAATATTAATAAATGTAGTCTCTTTGACGATGTCAAAGAGACTACATTTGCAAGTTTTGCAACTCTCATCGCTTAAATTCCCCATACCTGAATATAAAATAAACAGTAAACAACGATTACCTTTTACATACCATACATAAAACGGAGTTTTTAACCTTTCTAGAAACTCACTCACTTCCTGAACTTTTGAGCACAAATGTAATGTAAAAATCTCGGGAAAAATGTATATCTGCATATTCACAGCGGTTAACACCATTAATATATCGCGGGCGCAATACAAAACACGAGAATTTTAAAATGTTTTGACCACTGAGGTTTTGACTTGTAAATAAATAAATAATATTTGATGTCATAAAAATTTTTAAATTTAACTGATGACAAACTGATAAGTTCATGACATGTATAATTTACTTCACTAAAAGTAAGTAAAGTAAGTTCATGACATGTATAATTTAATTCTGTACCCTACACCTTTGAAAATTGTTTGCAATTGCATTTGATGTGGTCATGTATTTATTTTGTGTCATGAATTTAATAATACCCCAATGGCTTCGAAATAGACAATGGATGAAATCATGAATATTGAGCTTATTTACCCTTTAAGCACTTGATCATAATGCGCATACAGTGTATTGTTTGTTTGCAGAACCCCCTCAAGCGGACTTCAACTTTTCTTGTCAAATTCTCCATTAAGGTTAAAGTATATTATGCTTCATACACTGCATGTGTGTGTTTGTGAGAACACTCATGTTTGTATACTTGGCATGGGTTTATGGTTATAATTTCACTGGAGTCATCAGGGTTATTGTCATATATTCCTGAAATTACCACTATTAGCACCTAAAACTGCATTCCCTAAAATTTTAATTGTTTTCTTAAATGTCTTGGATCGCCCTATATTGCTCAAACCCACATTGCTTAAAAGTTGCAGATTTTGCTTAAATTACCTAAAATCGCTTAAACTCAACGTTATCGCCCCAAAGTAGGGCCCACTGTTGGCATTGCTTTTTAGTCCCCAATACCTCAGTGAGTCGTGCTTTGGAAATAACCATATTTTTTTGTTACCCAACAATCGAGTTCTTTTGTTTTTAATTTACCCAACCTTTTACTTACTCAAAATTTAGTTTACCCAACCCTTTTCTCTTT